CGGCCAGCTATGCCCCGACTCACAGCAGTATGTGGTCAGAGATTTCCACGGAGATAACTATAAAGAAGAACTTTTATAGAATAAAGAGAGAGTTCTGTTGAAAGTAAATGAGAAAGCTCATTATAATTGGAACACATGACTCGAAAACGATTGTGCGCAGCGTAATCGGTTGTGCACCTAGACAAGACGAATGGCAAATAATTCCTTGTTGGTCTACAAGGAACTGAAAAATTAAGGCGACCTAACAGGGAAGAGGAGTCAACCTCGCCGATAATCAACTTGTGGAGAAAAACTACTCCAAGAACAGTCCTACGATTAACTAAAGAAGGAAGGTTTACAAGCATCAGCCTGCTAGAGTACGATGGCAAGCGGAGGTTGGGATCCCAGCTTAAACCACGTAGAGCAAAAAGAAGGAATTGCTTCTGAACAGACTCAATACTTTCCTGATGCTTTCTATACTGCGGAGACCAAACGCATGAGCAGTATTCAAGCACAGGGCGTACTAGTGCAGTGTAAAGAAGCTTAGTGGTATATGGGTCATTGAATTCCTTGGACCAACGTTTAATGAATCCAAGTAACCCCTTAGCCTTATTGACAATACTAGATATGTGAAGGTTGAAGTTCAATTTGGAATCAAAAAGAACCCCAAGGTCTTCAACAGTCGATATACGTTGCAATGGCACATTGTCAATCGTATACGTAACTAAATGAGGCAAAGTTCGGTGAAATGTCATGAACTTACACTTAGCGCCATTGAGGTACAAGTGGTTAGCTAAGCACCACGATTGCATGCAGTTCAGATCATCCTGCAGGCGATGAGAATGAGTATGGTCTTTATAAGTCAGAATAAGTTTCACATCATCAGCATACATAAGAATATGAGAGTGTGACAAGGTAGAGGGGAGGTCATTAATAAATAATGTAAAAAGTAAGGGGCCAAGATGGCTACCTTGAGGCACACCTGATGATGCAAACACGGGCTTAGAAATGTGCGACCTAAGCAAGATCCGTTGGGTCCTATTTTTTAGATATGACGAAATCCAACTCAAAAAAGCGGAGGGAAATCCTATACGACTTAGTTTAAAGAGCAGAAGATCATGGTTCACAGAGTCAAATGCTTTACTGAAGTCAGTGTAGACGACATCAGTCTGCATTTTTAAAATAAATGCTTCATTTACCAAGGAAGTAAATTCCAGCAAATTTGTCGTAGTAGACCGTCTCCTCATGAATCCATGTTGAGCTGGAGATATGACAGATTTACAGAGGTGCTGCAAAGTGCTGCAAACTATTTTTTCAAGAGGAATAATAAATTATAAAGAGGAATAATAAAAGATTCTCTCCAAATAGTTGGAAAGATTGAGGAACCAAGTGACAGATTAAAAAGTTTAAGTAATGGTTGTAAAAGGGAACTAGAACACTCCTTGAGAACACAACTAGGAATGTTGTCTGCTCCAGGAGAGTATGAAGATTTTAAGGATTTGATAGCAGAGAGTAGACAGCTATCAGAAATTATGGGAGCGTAAATAGTGTGGGAAGATGAAATGCTATAAGGATAAGAGGTATTACTAATAGAGACAGAGGAATATGTTGATTGGAAGAAGTTGGCAAACAAGTCAACAGCTTCAGAATCGTTGCTGGCTTTTTTGTCACCAAGGAAAAATGACGAAGGAAGGGAAGCAGATTTACGTTTAGAGTTAACGAACTTATGGAATTGTTTAGGGTCCTGTGCAAATTGTATCTTGCATCGGGCAAGGTAATTATTATAACATTGTGAATTAAGGAGAGCAAAATTGGATTTCGCTAGAGTATTTATAGAAGTCAATAGATAAGCCCGACTGCTTATACTTTTTAAAGCATCTAGATTTAACATTTTTTAAGTTTGAAAGTCTTGGTGAAAACCAAGGAGGTTTTCATGACGCAGACGAAATGACACGTTTTGGGATGCAGACATCAAAAAGAGCAATAATAGTGTCATAGAAAAACTTTACGGCTATGTTGATGTCAACAGCACTATACAAATAGGACCAATTAGTTGCTGCAATAAGTTCGTTTAGCAAAGAAAAATTTCCTTTGCGAAAGCACAAACTAGTATTTTTGGGAATAAGTGCTGGTATAGAGGTAGGGTTTGAAATTGAGAGGGAAATTTGCAAAGTAGGGTGGTAAGAATCTTCAGGCAGTATAAGGGGAGAAGACCTACAGATAACTGTACTAGCAGGGTCGGTGACAAAGACGAGATCAAGCATTCTGCTTAAGTGATTACGTATAGAATTAATTTGGAACAATGAAAGGTCAAACAAGCAGTCTAAACAGGCATGCTCTGCCGAGGGTACCAAATAATTAGACTGATTGAAGAATGACCATTCAATGTTAGGCAAATTAAAATCACCTACCACAACGAACGCGTCACTGTCACGTAGGAGATTAGAGATTCCCCTAACATTCTGATATAGAATGTTTAACGAAAGTGGACGAGCTCCTAGTTTTTTGAAGTCGAGCTTGAGGTTGGCTGCAAAGTTTGGCCAGCAGACTGTAAGTTGACCGGCAAAGAGCGAGCTCGTTTTTTCTGCCTAAACTCATGTACAATCATTTGTGGCGGCCAAAATTTTGGGTCACAAATAGTTGTAAATGATTCAGGCGGTACACTTATTTTGAACGAGGCTATTTCTCGGGGCTCGGAAAAGCTAAACTTAGAAATAGATACAGCAGCTGTCGACTTACTTGCGATATAGGCAGCGATAGCCTCACAAGAAGTATCAGGGGACAACCGAGACACGAAAACTTGCTTTCTAGGAGCTACCACTGTAAGAGACGGGGGCAGAGGAAGGGCTGGGACTGCCGCACATTCTACGGCTCCTGAAGAAACTATAGGAGGTGGTGCCGACGTTTTAGAAGAAGCCCTTGTTCTTACAGGTTTAGATATATTAGACACATGAGGAACTACCAACGGGGCCAACATAACATGAGCCGGCGAAGGCAGAGGGGAAATTTCAAATAAATTTCCAGGCGACGTAGACAATGAAATTGCCGGCGACACATCTACATTTAATAGCGAGGGAATCGGAGAAGCTATCTGAGCCGAGCTAGGTGGCACCTCTAAGAATTGAGGTTCAAGCCTACGCTTGGGAGGAGAATCGAACTTATATTTACTAAGCAAGTCGGTCCCTGTGTCAAACTCACTTGAGAGTTGCTTAGTAATTCTATGCAAGCTCAAAAATTTATTTCTCACATTGTCATACATACGAGAGGAATTAAATTGTATGTCTATGCAAACAGGGCATGACCATTTCAAACCACCACAACCTTTTTTAGGCGGGTAAATTTTATCAAGGTCACGACCACTTAGTCCAGCACACTTAATATGCATAAAATTCTCGCACAACCAACAACTTATAAATCGTTGTTGTTCGGAATCAATTGCATCGGACACATAATTACTAACTGGTGGTATTTGCAAAACACCTGGGACTAAAATTTTGTGTTATTAGGTCTTATAGTCTCCGAGATATAGGCGATTATACGAGTGGAAAGTCGGGAAAACCTCCATAGGGGGGAAGTGGGGGGGAAAATCAAAAAAATAAAACAAACTCGTATAGCGTACACATATAAGGCATCTTTGTGCAAAATTTGGTGTCTCTATCTCTTATAGTCTCTGAGATCCAGGTGTTCATACGGACGGACAGACGGACAGACAGACAGGGCTAGATCGACTCGTCTCGTCATGCTGATCAATAATATATATACTTTGTGGGGTCTGCCGCGCCTCCTTCTGCTGTTACATTTTTCAGCTCCCGCAAACCTAATATACTTCTGTATATTTCATGTACAGAGTATAAACACCGATTAAACTCCGCTAGAATGACAATACGTCTGCTCGCAACGAGAGGTAGTCGAAGACTGAATTAAATTGTTAAAAAATATTGAATTATTTAATTAAATTAATAAATAAAATTAATACATACACAGAAAACATGTTTATGTACAGTTTTAACAGCATGCATTTACATCACCGTGTCTCTGCGTATTTATATGCGTGTATGTATGCAGCACAAAGTTGAACCAAAGCAGCAACAACAACAGCTGCGGGCAGCGCTGCAAGCAGCGCATGGGTAACGATTTTATTTATGGCTATAACTTTCTTCAGAATTCACCAATCATGATGCAACTTAACATACGGAGGTGTTTGCCAAATTCGAGTACAATATTCCGGAAAATTTCCGGAAATTATGGAAAAATCACGAATTGCGGAGGAGTGGGGGTGCATCGAAAAACAAAACTTAAACTCGTACTTTCTTGGTCTTAGGAGAATCTGAATACCAAGTTTGGTTGTTATAGCTCTTATACTGTCTGAGATCCTTGCGTTCATACCGACGGACGGACAGACGGACATGGCTATTGACTCGCCTTGTCATCGTGATCAAGAATACATATACTTTGTGGGGTCTGCCACGTCTCCTTCTGCCTGTTACATACATTCGCACAAAACTAGTATACCCTTTCACCCTTTGGGTACATAGATAAAAAGCTTAGTTTCTGCGCATATTCACTCCTCTTAATAACACATATATCCGGTATTATTACTGTATGTAATTTATGATATTATTTTCAACGACCGATAAAACTGAAATGATCATATGATCCTTAGTTCTCTTTCCAATAAACAATGCATGATTGTCAAATTTGATTGAAAAGAATTGAAAAAAAAAAAAAAAAACAATCTTGGGAAATCACTGGGGAGTGGTGTTGGGATACAAATTTTGAAATACGCTTGTTCTGCTTATACATATAAGAAATGTGCGCTCTAGCTCCTATAATCTCTGAGAGCTAGGTGTTCATACAGACAGGCAGCACAAAATCTTGTCAAGCTGAATAAGAATATATATATATAGGCGTCCGCCTGTTACAGTTTTCACTTTGCGCAAACCTAATATATTCAGGTACAGAGTAAAATAATAGTTAGGCATCGACGGGCTGGTATGAAAATAGTCAATAGTTGAACTTACTCTTTAGAGCGCTCCACATATTTTCGCGACTCCGAAATAGTGTTATCAATTTTATTGAGAAAATCGTTCATGCACTTCCTATTTTCTTCCTCCGGCGTCATCGTAGACACCGAGTCCATTGACTTGCTTTGCTTACTGCTGCATGCTTTATGATTGATCATCAGAGCAGGATCCTCGTCGGCGCTATGCACGAGTACCTCGCCAGCAATTGAATAAGGACGGGCATGTAAAGGACCAGGACGTGTACTTTGACAGTTGCTGCTGCTACCAACACTGCTGGAACTACTGTTGCTATTTGTATAATCGCTGTTTCTGTAGGTGTTTGATTGCCGTCGGTTGTTGGAATTATGCACAGCGTCCAGTTGCTCTTTTGTTGTTATGGCCGAAACGGCCAGCGCATCGGCTAGTCCCGCAGCTGATGCGCTGATATTTAGACTAGCTTGAGGATAATAGGGCGACGCCTTTTCAACAGGAACTAGCAAGAATTGTCGCAAAAATAGGCTATCAGATGCAAAAAGGCGATTGGTGCGGCGAATTTGCTCCATCTGTTTTTCAGAAAAATACAGAAAAAAATTGTTTCCATAATTAATTAAAGTTATTCAAAAATGAGTTTTCATCAATAATAATCCTAAACAATTAAATATATGGAACTAGAGACTGTTATTTTATGCGCTCCGGCACTTAAATTTCATAGTGATTTTAATACCCATTATAGGGTACAAAGGGTATTTATATTAGGTTTATGCAAAGTATGTAACTAAAGTAAGCATCTCAGACCCCATAAAGTATTTATATTATTTCCGTCTGTCTGTTTGTCTGGATGACCGCAAAGATCTCAAAAACTATAAAATCTGAAACCAAAGTTGTATTTTGTCTAATATACAATCTGTAAAAAATTCATTCTCTCCTGCGCTTGACAACATTCCTAGTTGTGTGTTCAAAGAGTGCAGTACTTCCCTCTGTAAGCCGTTACTTAAGCTTGTTAATCTGTCCCTTGACAACGAAATCTTTCTTGCTTTTTGGAAAGAATCGATTATTAAACCACTCCACAAAAAGGCTTGTAAGCCAGACATTTCTAACTATAGAGGCATTGCCAAACTGTCTGCCGTTCCTAAATTATTTGGAACAATTAAAAAAGCTAAAGTGTCCTGACTTTGAAATACTCTGTACATATGTTTACAATAATTATAGAAATTAAAAAAAGGAAGAGAATTAAAAAAAAAAATTTGATCGATTTTACCTCTTTTGGTATTCGAACTCACGTAAAGGGTGTATAATTGCACATTTACATAGCAATTGCGTCTGTGTGAGTGTATGTATGCCTATGCGCATCTATTCGTGTCTGTGTAAACATGTTAGCAGTCAACCAAACAGCAACATCAACAACAGTCGCGGGCAGCGTTTGAGCAGCGCTGCAACAGCAAATATATTTATGGCTATAAATTCTTGTTATATCGGTCTATCATCATACGGACACATAATAACTAACTGGGGGTATTTGCAAAATTTTAGTTCGAAATTCCAAGAATTACGGGAGTTAGAGAAAATCGCGATTTGCGGGGGAGAGGGGGAGGGAGGTCTAGGTCTTATAGTCTCCGAGATATAGGCGATTATACGAACGGCGGTACGGAAAAATCCCCATAGGGGGGAAGTGGGGGGAAAATCCAAAAAATAAAACAAACTCGTATAGCGTACACATATAAGGCATCTTTGTGCAAAATTTGGTGTGTCTAGCTCTTATAGTCTCTGAGATCCAGGTGTTCATACGGACAGACAGACGGGGCTAGATAGACTCGTCTTGTCATGCTGATCAAGAATATATATACTTTGTGGGGTCTGCCACGCCTCCTTCTGCCTGTTACATTTTTCACTTCCCGCAAACCTTATATACTCTTGTACATTTCATGTACAGAGTATAAAAAGTAAGAAGTAGAAAGAGGAAAAGAAAAAAAGATGGAAAGAGAGATAGAGAAACAGGGAAAGAGAGAGACGAAAAGAGAAAGAGGGAAATGTCCAACCCGGTGGGGGAAAATTTAAATGCCAGTCCGGCAAGCTATGCCCCAACTCACAGCAGTAAGTGGTCAAAGATTGTTCCGAAGATAATTATAAAGAATAATTTTTATAGAACAGAGAGAGAGTCCTGTCGAAAGTAAATGTGAAAGATCATTACAATGGCTGCACATGACCCGAAAACGATTGTGCAAAGCGTAATCGGTTATGCATCTAGCCAATATGGACGGCGAATAATTCCTTGTTGGTCTGCAAGGAACTGGAAAATTAAGGCGACCTAAGAGGGCAGAGGAGTCAACCTCATCGATAACCAACTTGTGGAGAAAAACGACTCCAAGAACCGTCCTACGATTTACTAAGGAAGGATGGTTTTTAAGCATCAGTCTACTAGAGTACGATGGCAAGCAGAGATTGGGATCCCAGCTTAAACCACTTAGAGCAAAAAGAAGGAATTGCTTCTGAACAGACTCAATACTTTCCTGATGCTTTCTATACTGCGGAGACCAAACGCATGAGCAGTATTCAAGCACAGGGCGTACTAGAGCAGTGTAAAGAAGCTTAGTGGTATAAGGGTCATTAAATTCCTTAGACCAACGAGTAATGAATCCAAGTAATCCCTTGGCCTTATTGACAATACTGGATATGTGAAGGTTAAAGTTCAATTTGGAATCAAAAAGAACCCCAAGGTCTTCAACAGTCAATATACGTTGCAATGGCACATTGTCAATCGTAAACGTCCCTAAATTAGGCAAAGTTCGGTGAAATGTCATGAACTTACACTTAGCGCAATTGAGGTACAAGTGGTTAGCTAAGCACCACGATTGCATGCAGTTCAGATCATCCTGCAGGCGATGAGAATGAGTATGGTCTTTATAAGTCAGAATAAGTTTCACATCATCAGCATACATAAGAATATGAGAGTGTGACAAGGTAGAGGGGAGGTCATTAATAAATAATGTAAAAAGTAAGGGGCCAAGATGGCTACCTTGAGGCACACCTGATGATGCAAGCACGGGCTTAGAAATGTGCGACCTAAGCAAGATCCGTTGGGTCCTATTTTTTAGATAAGATGAAATCCAACACAAAAAAGCGGACGGAAATCCTATACGACTTAGTTTAAAGAGCAGAAGATCATGGTTCACAGAGTCAAATGCTTTACTGAAGTCAGTGTAATCGACATCAGTCTGCATTTTGAGAATAAATGCTTCATTTACCAAGGAAGTAAATTCCAGCAAATTGGTCGTAATAGACCGTCTTTTTATGAAACTACTGACTTAACTGTGTGCTTCCTCAGCACGTTGTACACACGGTCCAGTTATCCCCGAAAAGTCCGATGCGGGACATTTAATTTTGATTTATAAATCGGGACGTCCCGCCAAAATTGGAGCGTTCGGCAACGCTGATATGTACCTACATTTAAATTTTTCATGCAGGCGTTTTCCGCCTATATACATACATATATACATACATAAGTATCCATTAAATTTTTTAATTCAATACTAATTTGTGTCTTCAATTCCAAATATGATATTTGTGAATGTAAAAGGTGTGTTTCTGCTTTTGTAAATCGCATGAATACACTCACAAAATAGGCTTAACGGTAAATGACTCTTAGATTTGTTCAGAATACATTTGTAGCGTTGTTAGCTAACACTAAAACGGTAAGTCGTTGTAAATATGCGATCAGCTGTGAATCTAGAGATGAGCATGTGTCGGATGCTCTATGTGTTAGAGCATCAAAACTATCGATAGTTGAATCCGTCGATACAATTAATAATTCCATTGAAGTTTGAATGCAATTAACAGAAAATTTAAATAATAACATCTTATAATTTATTGAGATCAATTAGAACAAATCATATACAAACATACATATGTACATCTGCCCGCAACGCGGTATCTGCTTTACTATCGCTTACGCAGTCGCCTAGCGACGGTAACGCATATTCTGCTTCGCATTGCGGGCAGATGTATGTATGTATATGATTTGTTCTTATTGATCTCAATAAATAATTAGATTTTATTATTTAAATATTCTGCTTATTGCATTCAAACTTCGATATTTTGATGGTATCGGTGGCTTCAACTATCGAAAGTTTTACTCTAGCAAATTGAGATGAGAATTGTCAGTGCTTTTTGATCGTGGCTCATCGCTGCACGGCATTGACACGAGTGCCGTGTTTCATATTCCGAGTTTGTGCGTGACCGTATTGACTCAATATGGCACGAAAAGACTGAAATGTGAATTTAAAATTAGGATATACCCTTATAATTAATCCCCTTTTTTGCACATAGTCTATCTTAAAACGTTGCATTATCTCTATATATAAAACAGTTTGTCCTGACTAATTGGTGATCAATGAAATGATGAAATTTGGACTCAAGTATCCATCATAGTGTAAGAGTACACTAAGAACAGAAAATGTTCATTTAAATACCTTAAATGCCTTCCTACTGGTAACTTATAAGGTGAAAACATATGGGTAGGTTATGCACACACAAAATAAATACAATTGGAAACATTACATTGAGCCGGGTTAAGACGGGCAATACCTGCTAGTGTATACATACATACATACGAATGTACATACATACTATATATGTACTTTTTACTTTTCAACCGTACGTAGAGAACCGCACACATAGACACGAACTGTTGCTTGTTCTGTGTGTGAGTGTGTGTAAATGATGTCCCTAACTATTTGATATTTGCGTTCTTTGTAATTTGTTGTTGCTGCATAAAGTTACTAATGAAAACTCTAATGCCAAATGTACTAAACAAAGAAAAAATTACTTTTAAAAATGTTAAATAATTGTTAATTAATTAAACTTTTTGATATTTTGTATTGTTTGTTCTGCCTGCATTTGTAAAATGCATATTTTGAAAATCCTTGAACGCAAAGTTGTAGATTTAGTTACGTAGATTACAGTCCCCAAATTTGAAATCGATCGGCAAAAATGTATAACACAAACCTTTCATTTGAAAAGGTGAATGTATATTAAAACCCCAATAATTCAAGCTCCAACAAAAAATTTTAATTTAAAAAAAAAAACGAGTATGCAGTTTTCTTTATTGATTTCAGAAACCAAGTTTTATGTCGATCGGCTAAAAAATGCGGATTTTTCAAACAAACTTTGGAGCTCGTTTTCCCCCCTTTGGAGCTCAAATTTTCCTAAATCCCTTCTTAGTGTGCACCTACACTACGATAGGATACTTGACCCCAAATTTCAGCTTTCTAGCTCTTACCGTTTGGGCTGTGCGTTGATCACCAATCAGTCAGTCAGTCAGGACAAACTGTTATATATATATATATATATATATATATATATATATATATATATATATATATATATATATATATATATATATATATATATGGAGATATGACAGATTTACAGAGGTGCTGCAAACTATTTTTTCAAATAATTTCGGTATGGCGGAAAACACCTGAATGATAAATTTAAATGTATGTACATATGCCGAACGCTCCGATTTATAAATCAAAATTAAATGTCCCGCGTCGGACTTTTCGGG